GTCCGTTTGGCTGGCCTTGACTGTGTTAGGACAAACCCCTGTTCCCAAAGTGCTGGGATTACAGGCATGAGCCACCAGGCCTGGCCATTTCCCCTATTATTAAAGTTTTGCATTAGTATGTCATATTTTGTTACAACTGATGAGCGATTGTTGATGTGTTATTATTAACTAAAGTACACAATTTACATGAGGGTTCACTCTTTGCATATACTGTTTTGAATGCTAGTGCAACTTAACATGTTGTCTTCTGACTAGAAGCGTCTATTGTATGTGTCTATTTATCCAGGGTAAATACAAACACATTTGAAAAAGAAAAAAAGAGTTTATATGAATTCAGGATCTTGTCTTTTCCTGAACTGTTTTGGTTTTTTTTTCTTTTTTTTTTTTTTGAGACTGAGTCTTGCTCTGTTGCCCAGGCTGGAGTGCAGTGGCATGATCTCGGCACACTGCAAGCTCTGCCTTCCGGGTTTACGCCATTCTCCTGCCTTAGCCTCTCGAGTAGCTGGGACTACAGGCGCCCACCGCCTCGCCCGGCTAGTTTTTTTGTGTGTTTTTTAGTAGAGAACAGGGTTTCACCATGTTGGCCAGGATGGTCTTGAACTCCTGACCTCAAGTGATCTGCCCGCCTCTGCCTCGCAAAGTGCTGGGATTGCAGGCATGAGCCACCGCACCTGGAATGAACTGGTTTTTAAATCTATCTTTGCCCTAGGGAGTGCCAGCTGACATTATGATCTTTCTTAAATATCGGGCTGTACTTTTTTTGATTGCTATTTTCACATTCAGGATCTTATCTGGCAGTCAAGTCTTGCTCACCATGCCAGCCTCTGCACCTAATATCCTTTCTCATACTTCTGGTGCTTTTTAGACCTCCCAATAAATAGAATGGGGGTGCTAAGTGGGAACAAGTTGCTTTACTGGGTAATAGTGGAGTCTGTTGGGGATCCTACTTGTTTGATTTTGAGTTAAGCAATTGAGTTCAAGGTTTAGCAGAGAGGCAGAGTTTTTCCTAACTGTGCTCTGGGGCGCCTGCCAATAGGTCAGGGACTTAGAGAGGCTCAGTAAGAACAGACCAAAGCTTGACCGCCTTCTCGTCACAGAAGCTTTCCTGTCTCGATCCTCCCTCACGTGAGGCTTCTCTGCTTGGCCCTCGTCCGTTTGGCTGGCCTTGACTGTGTTAGGACAAACCACTGTTTCATGTAGTTCATTTGAGTTAATTCTAGAATTTTTCTTTTTCTTTTCTTTTCTTTTTTTTTTTTTCAGACAGAGTTTTGCTCTTGTTGCCCAGGCTGGAGTGCAATGGCGCCATCTTGGCTCACTGCAACCCCCGCCTCCCCCGTTCAAGCGATTCTCCTACCTCAGCCTCCCAAGTAGCTGGGATTACAGGCGCCCGCCACCAATTTAAAAAATATTTTTAGTAGAGATGGGGTTTCACCATGTCAGCCAGGCTGGTTTCGAACTCCTGACCTCAAGTGATCCACCCGCCTCGGACTCCCAAAGTGCTAGGATTACAGGCATGAGCCACTGCATCTGGCCAATTCTAGAAGTTTTCAAAGGGAACATTTTTCTTTAAGGGAAATGGAAACAAAGTGAAACATATGCAAAGGTAGTTTATAGAAATTGATTTCTTTCTAAGGAATATACTTGCTGCTTTCTTCCATGAGCCAGTTTCAGCACAGAATGGGGCCCATTTCTGCCCTCTGCATCCCCATGTGTCCTCATTTTCCCTCTCATCTCTGGTGAGAAAGAGTGGAGTCTTACTCTGTCACCCAGGCTGGAGTGCAGTGGTATGATCTCGGCACACTGCAACCTCTGCCTTCTGGGTTCAAGTGATTCTCCTGCCTCAGCCTCCTGAGAACCTGGGATTACGGGCACCATATGTGGCTAATTTTTGTGTTTACAGGGGCTCACCATGTTGGCCAAGCTGGTCTTGAACTCCTGATCTCAAATGATCCACCTGCCTTGGCCTCCCAAAGTGCTGGGAATAGAGGTGTGAACCACCATCCCCAGCCATAATTTTCCAAAACCACTTTCTCTTGCTTTTTAGCCTTTGCGTATGCTCTGTACCCCTCTATCCCCATGCTTTTCCTCTACTTTGCCTACCTCTTCACAACATCTGGCATGTTTTAGGTCTTAGCCCTAAACTCTAAACTTGTAAAAATCCTACTTCAGATTGCTCCAGTTGTGAAATCTAGCTCCCCTTTCGTGGCATTTGCCACATTAGATTGTACTTGCCTGTTTCTTGCCTTTATCATCCCCATGGACTGTCAACTCTATAGAGAGCAAGAATTGTAACTGCCTCATTTGCAGTAGAGTATCCAGGGATTAGCACAGTATCTGGCACATAGAACATGTGCAATGATTATTTGTTGAAAGACTGACTGAATAAAATGTGTCCAGAATGGGAGGTAAAAGGCCATGTATACTGGCCATTCTGAGTTGAAATTAACCAACTTAACTAAATGTATAAATGTGCTTACTAAATTCAATTGAAACATCATTAAATCCACACCGTGTGCTAGGAAATGTATAGGTTGCGTGCTGATTGATTTAATGCTACAGGTTTTGTTTCCTGTTTCCAAAAGTGTGCATATATTGTGAAAATGACAGACATTGCAAACATATAAATTGTGGATGAAAATCTGTTATAATTTCACTCACCAGAAAAAACCATTGTGAACAGCTTGGTATATGTTCCTCCAAATTTAAGCAAAAGTTTAGTTACCATAAGTGTTTTCTTGTTTTCTATTATCCTATCATAGCTTTTCAATGTTTTCCCATAAAAATCAACCTTATTTTATCACTGTTCCATAATTAACCAGTCATGTGCTGATGGACAGTTGGATGGTTTTATTTTTTTCTTTACTAGAAACAGCACTGCAATGAATTTCATTGTGCCTATACTTTTGCATACTCATGTATAAGCTCAGTTTCTGTAAGCTGAACTGCTTAGTTAAAGGGTAGGAATGTCATGCCTGTAATCCCAGCACTTTGGGAAACCGAGGCGGGTGGATTACCTGAGATCAGGAGTTCGAGACCAGCTTGACCAACAATGGTGAAACCCCGTCTCTGCTAAAAATACAAAAAATTAGCTGGGCGTGGTGGCAGGCGCCTGTAATCCCAGCTACTTGGGAGGCTGAGGCAGGAGAATCACTTGAACCCAAGAGGCAGAGGTTGCAGTGAGCTGAGATTGTGCCACTGCGCTCAAGCCTGGGTGCAACAGAGTGAGACCCCGTCTCAAAAATAAATAAATAAATAAATAAAACAAAGGATAGGAATGTTTTAAATGTTAATAGATTGCAAAGTGACCATCCAGAAAAGCTGTGCTAAGACATGATAATACACTTGGGGAGAAGAGAGAGCAAGGAAAAGCCTTGAGCTCACAGTCAAGCTCTGTGAGGCAAGTGTGAGCAGTACTGTGATTAGGCGCAGTGGGAGTTAGGGGGAGGGTGTGATTGGCCTCTGCCTGGGGGAAGGTTTCATGGAGGGGAGTGTTCGTTTTACCTGTACTTTATTTTTTTATTTTTATTTTTGAGATGGAATTTCACTCTTGTCATCCAGGCTGGAGTGCAATGGTGGGATCTCAGCTCCCTGCAACCTCCCCCTCCTGGGTTCAAGTGATTCTCCTGTTTCAGCCTCCTGAGTAGCTGGGATTACAGGCACCTGCCACCATACCCGGCTAATTTTTGCATTTTTAGTAAAGATGGGGTTTCACCATGTTGGCCAGGCTCATCTTGAACTCCTGACCCCAAGTGATCCACCTGCCTTGGCCTCTCAAAGTGCTGGGATTACAGATGTGAGCCACCACGTCCAGCCTTAGCTGTACTTTGAAGGAGAGGCAGAATTGGGAAGAACTTGATGGGAGAGAGGGAGTAATGGTCACAGTTGGAAAAATTGTGTCTCATTCATGAATCACATCTCAAACTTTATGACATAAGCTGTGCTCTTTACCCCCCAAACCTGATGTTTCCCTTCAAGTCTTCTTCATCCCAGTAATTATGCTTCCATCTACCTAGCTATTGAAGCTAGAAACCTGGAAGTCATCTGAGTTCTTTATGCTCTTCATTTCCTGCATCTGTGTGTCCTTTCAATTCTACTCCCAAAATAGACCCTGAATCCACTTGTTCCCCTTGTGACCACTGCAATCCTTTTTTTTTTTTTGAAATGGAGTCTCGCTCTGTCGCCCAGGCTGGAGTGCAGTGGCGCGATCTCGGCTCACTGCAAGCTTTGCCTCCCATTTGTCTTTATAACCCTGATGGCAATTTGTAGTTATTTGTTGCCTTTTCTTCTCCTTTGTGCCTTCCAGTAGGTATTTGCTCCAGGAATGCCTTGCTGCTTATTTTAGCTTTAGTGTCTGGCCATATCACAGTCTTGATATGATCAAAAGTCTTTGATATGATTGTACTTTGTTCTTTTACAGCACACATCCAATACTGTGTTACAGACATGAATTTATGCTTTGAATCAGAAACAAAAATTGCATTATTTTCTTAGATTCCTGCTCCAAAACGAGGAGAAATTGTAAGACAGATTGGCGATGCCTTGCGGGAGAAGATCCAAGTACTAGGAAGCTTGGTAAAGTATTTTTGTAGTATATACACAATTCTTTGAGTGGAGAATAAGGCTGTCATGCTTTTCCATATATAAGATTGTGAGGTTGTTTTTCTTTTTTTTGAGACGGAGTCTCGCTCTGTCCCCCTGGCTGGTGGCTAATTTTTTGTATTTTTAGTGAGACGAGGTTTCACCATGTTGGTCAGGCTGGTCTTGATCTACTGACCTCAGATGATCCACCCACCTTGGCCTCCCGAAGCTGGGATTACAGGCGTGTGCCACCGCGCCTGGCCTATAATACAGTCTTAACTGATCTCCCTGCTTCTACTCTTTTCCCCTTCAACATATCCTCTACTTGTCTGATAGCATATTAAAAATTAAAGCAAATCCTCTTATTCTGCACCTTAAAAGCCATTCAAGACTTCACATTGCACCTGGAGTAAGATTCTAACACCTTACAAGCTTCTGGCTTTAGACATACTGGCTTTCCCAATCAGCCCCTTTTATTTTCCATGGATCCCTCTTACATGTTTTTTTCTTATCCCTGGGAAGAATATTCCTATGACTTACTTTTCCCATTCTTCAGGTTTCAGCTTCAATATTACCTCCTTTGAGATTTTTCCTGCCAACCTTTTTTTTTTTTTTTTGGGAGATGGAATCTCACTCTATTGCCAAGGCTGGAGGGCAGTGGCACGATCTCGGCTCACTGCAACCTCCGCCTCCAAGGTTCAAGCAATTCTCCCATCTCGGCCTCCCGAGTAGCTGGGATTACAGGCACCTGCCACCATACCC